TTCCCCAACTATAGAATTTTCTGAAACTCATGTGTACAGAAATAAGGCCTCATGTACCATATTAATATAGCAAAGTGTTGGACACATAGCTGGTTTCAAAGAGGCCCTTACCAATTGACTAATAAATCAATGAACAAAGTAAGAAATCCAGCCAGCAGGCTCAAGCTTTGTCTATCAGAAATTACTTTCCTAAAAAGCATTTTTTCCTTCCTTTATAGATCAATTTCAAAGTCAAAATTCAAACACTGCAGATTTCACAAACAGGAATAGCTGGCAGGTATTGGGCTTTGCAAATAATGAATGTGCACATCAAAACAACATTTGTGGATGTTTGTAAAAGTATATACATGAGTTGATATGAACAGAGATACTTAAGAACACTTCCTCCCAGTCTAAGTAAAGAGTAAAACCTGGCCCTGATAGAGCCCACCATTGCTACATGACTTCAAAATTACAGGAATATTTCTGGAGTGTAATCTAGCTTTGCCAATTACCAAGTAACTACATATTTATGCTGGCAAAGCCCCATTGTTTGCTGACCCTTCAGACCCTTCAAAGTGTATAAACAAAGACAAGGAAGTTTGTTTCATTAGGAGATAAGCCTATACGTCACATATCTCTATAGCTGATATTGCACGAAGGAACAGAAATAATATTAATCTGTTCACTTTACCTATTGAATGTTCTAATCCAGGGTCTTTACATGAGGACAATACTTAAAAGAGCATGGCTAATCTATGCTAACGTAATTGTATTTTATAAGTGTCTTAAGTAGGATTGATTCAACCTCTTTAAAATTAAGATTAAAATGGCAAATGTTCAAATCACTTATAGTACAAGGCACTAAAATAATTATTTTAATATAACATAGAATATATACTTGGCACACAGTATTATTTTTCTAGAATAATAATATTTACTTGAATTTAAAGCTTTTCATATGCCAGGAAATGTTCTAAGCACTTTACAAATAGTAAGTTACTCAGTCTTCAAGAAGAGTTCTGCATATGTCATTGGTATTGTCATTCTCATTCTACATATGAGGAAACTGGGGTAGAGAGGAATAAATGTTTCCCAAGGGCAAGGGGAGAGTTCAGATGGATAAAGACTGCCATGTATTACTTCCTACAGCCAAGAAGGTGCAGATCTAGTATTTGAGCCAGACTAGTCTGACTCCAGAATTCATGCTCTTAACCACTCCACTATACCGCCTGTGTGTAATATCATGTCCTTACCAATGGCCTTTGGTAAAAGGGACATATGTTTCACATTCACATAAACCTGGTTTATATCTCAGCTCGGTCATTTACTAGCTGTGTGGCCTTAGACAAATTATTTAACATCTCTGAATATTGCATTTTTCAATTGTATAGTGGGAATGATATTCCATATCTTGCAAATTATTTGCAATAATCTGTATAATCCACTCGGCAGAGTACATAGCACACAGTAAGTATTCAATAATTTATCTTTATCATTGCTAAAAAAGTAGCCCCAAATTTAATATTTTATACTAGTTTTATATCAGTATCATGGGGAATTGTTTCCAGGACCCCCCACAGATAACAAAATCTGAGGATGCTCAAGTCCCTTTTATAAAGTGGTATAGTATTTGCATATAACCTACACACATCCCCCATATACTTTAAATAATCTCATTATTTGTAATAGCTAATACAATATAAATGTTATGTAAACACTTTTTATACTGAATTGTTTAGGAAATAAATGCAAGAAAAAAAAAGTCTGTAGATGTTCCATACAGATGCAAACACTGTAGACCTAACTACATAGTGTACTGTAGCAATAATGTAACATTTTCTGGAATTTTTTAAAAAAATAATTTTGATCCAAAATTGGTTGAATCCACACACATACGGAGGGCTGAATGTACCTGCATAATTCTCTATGAGTTCATAGGTAAATTACCAAATGAGTTTCAAATAAATGGAAATATATTTGGTACAGTTCTTGGGAAGACATCATTGTAGCTATATGGACCCTAATGAATACTCCCTCTACATTAATAGTACTCTTATCTGGATTGTTACAACATTCCGATACTCTGCAAACTGAAGAGGTTAAAACCAAGGCAAGAGATAACTTTGCTCCATTCCATACTATTGATAAATTCATTTCATAATAGCTAAGTAATAAAAAAAAATCTAACTCATCAGCCACAGTTGTGTAGTCAGTAAAATGCATGAAAATGTTGAGCAGTATATGCATTTTTATTGGCTTGAAAGTTATGCACGTCCTTTCAAAATCAGCTATAAAAATTGATCTCACCCCATTCCATCAAGACATCAATAGCAATATTTGAATTTTTGTTTGTTTTTTGCTCAACTCTTGTAATAACCTCATATCTAATAAAGATCAATTTCCAAAGATAAACCTCAGGAAATTAATAATCTATCAACTACAACTACTTAAAAGAGAACAAAAATCCTTAAGCAGAAACGACACCTGGCTCTATGTAGCAAGTATTATCAAAGCTGGGCAGAGAGGAAAATGCTCAACATTGATATTAAAGAATAAGACATTGTGATCATTGCCTGCTCTTCAGTAGCCCTATTCTGCAGTCTAAAATGATCCTTCCATAAAGGACTGTCCTATACTATCAAGAACAGGATACTTAGTCTCTAAATTTCAAAGCTCTTTTTTATGCACCATATACCACAAGCAGAGACTTCATTTTCTCCAAGTGCTAAGAGCTCTTGCTCAGAGGGCACAGCCACACTCATGACTGCGCACATAGGGCCATGAGGCATATTTTGAGACAAAATGGTAAAGACAGTTCCTCAGTCATTTGTCATGATGAGGGCCAAGACCTGAATTTGAACCTTTGCTCTTTAGCACCTTTCTGTAGCCACAGGAACTCTCTAAAACTCAACTTCTTTATCTTATTTAGAGAAATATGGGACTATATATCTAAAATCCTAGTATACGCTAGATAGTCAATAAATAATAGATGTTATTAAATTGTTTTAGTTTTTTATTTTACATGCATTGGTACATGTTGTGGTATTTTGATCCAGAGCTGTTTTAATGTACCTTTTAGTAAAGGGAACTAAATTCAATAGTATTACTGCAACTCATATTTTCAAATAAGTATTACATCAAGGTATTAAAACAGTACTTTTAGTAGCCTTCCAGACCGGCGAAACAGCCCCGCTATGTATCACTATATACACAAGGAACATGACTGAGGACAAGGGCAGGAATCACAAAAGGTCTCAAACTTAAACTTTTGGATTGTTCAAAAGAGATTATACACAATCTTAGAGGTGTACTAACAGGATTAAAAGAGAATGTTTATCACACAATCTTAAAGTGGACTATGAATTAGTATTTTTCATAAAACCTCTAATTATCATCTGAATAGCCCAATTACACCGCATTGCGCTTTTTAGTGTTAAACGCATTACCTTTAAAATTACAAACATTTATAATATAGAGGAATTTGGTAATCCTATTTTGTCATGTCTTCATTTGTTAACATACTGGGATCTTTTATAATAAAGTGGCTTAAGCTTCTCTCTACCTCTAAAGGGTTCTGCCATGGTATAAAGAAATTCACTGATCATCTGGTGTGATATAAAATATGGTTTTCTGTGATAGGAAATACATATTAAATAGTAATGATAGTGCTAGAGTTCACCTTTATTGATATTGTATTAAGCACTATATAAAGTACTTTTAAAAGCGTTGCCTCATTGAATCCTCTCAACAATCATACAAGATAGTTTCTACTATTCGTTTCATTTTACACATGAGAAAACAAAAGTTAGAGAAGTTAAATAACTTGCCCAGATAGTTGGCACAGTCAGTATGTGAACCCCAGCAGTCAAACTCCAAAGCCCACGCTCCTCCCCAAAACACTGCAGTGTATTGCACAGATTCATGACCCAGACTACTTTCAATGGCTTTGTTTTCTTATTCTATTTACTATTCCTTTTAAACATATGCTCTGAAACCAACTTTTTGTTCCATGGGGTTACCTCTTGAGTGCCCTTAAAAGTAAATTGCTCTTTACTTCTCCTTTAAGGTATCTCTTTTTCTACCTTCAAGTGAAGCTCTCTTGGTTCCCTGGCACAGCACAGCTCCTCAGTTCTCCTCCAAGTTCATAGCAAATGCAGCTTCCCTCTTACTTACTCCACTTCTCTCTCTCAAGCTCTTTCCCAAGTGTTTCCCTACTCTGAGTCCAGCCGCTTCAGGTCTGTGCCTCAGATGGCCCTCTGGGTTTGCCACCCTGCTGTGCTTCTAGGTCTAGGTATGTTGGAATCTACAGTTATCTGCATCCCCACTTATCCTGACTACTGTGGTTATGAGGGGCCTCTTTTGAATGCAGACAGCCAGTCAGCCAAGTCGAAATTTATACCAGAAATCTATTACCTAATTTTTAAACAAAATGACATGAAATCAGACTTGAAGATATCAAAAGCATGTCTAGTTTCTGATTTAAGCAAGAAAATACACATTGTTACTGCTCCCACCACAGAATAATTTACTGCAACAGGAGTTCTGGATCTTATCCCAAAAATGAGATCCTCTAACCAATGTCAAGGCCAATTATCTTGTGGTAGATCCCACAACAAAAGCAGACTATTGTGATTAGAGTCAGAAGCACCACCCAGAGAAGCTGGAAAGCTTCTGGGGATTTCTTAAGGTTAGTTTTTATTTTTTCTCCTTGTGTGTCTGGTTAAATAAACTACCAGAAACTCTGTGTGTGGGCACTGAGCATCTTAAATTGGCTTGGGAGACAATGACAGGGGTGATCAGCTGGGAGTGAGCTCTTTCAGGTTTGGCTTGATTTGAGCAAAAGCCATGGTGCAAGGCAGTGCCCCTATGACACAGCAAAGATTCTCATGACCAAGCCCCTTCAGTATGTCACAACATCCTCTTTCCCTAATCTCCTTCCCAAACATACTGCCAATAGCCATCCTATAGTTACTTACTGCAAAAGAAAAGCCCAGGTGGCTAAATTCAGGAATACTTACCCCACAGTAAAGAACTGCCTCATCTCCTGTCTCCGAGACCTCATCAGTTGCTTATACTCCCCAATCCGAAGCTTTTTGCCATCAACAATGCAGGTGCGTTTCGGTCGGGGTTTGTATTTATAGTTTGGGTACTTCTCTAAGTGGATCTTGCTTAGCCGGGCCTGCTCTTCATAATAAGGTTGCTTCTCCTGGTTGGACATTGATTTCCAGCGAGATCCTATAAATAAAAATAGCCTTAAGTACCCAAGTGGTCAAGGCAACATATTCTAGGCAAACACAACTAGATATACCTTTCCACCACTTCACTCATCTGTGTGCTGGGTGGCTCCAATTACCACATAGCAATGGCTATCCCAACTATACTCTTAGTCTGTAGTACAAAGCATATGACACTTTCTCATACTATTTCTCTCAATAGTTTAAGACTGATGCTACTATACGTTTTAAAATATATCTTTGCTGCTTAAAGATCATCGCCTACACCAAGATCTTTCCCCATCCACCTGCCTATCCTCTCAACAGGGTTAAAAGGCTAAACTTCCTAAGCATACTTTTGAGCATGACAGGATTCTCAGGAAAAGCTTTCTTTGTCCTAGAAATTCAAACATCTCCCAAACTCCAAGTATCTTTAGTGAAACTATCCTTTGACAAGATGTCAGCAGATGTTGAAATCCTTCCATATATGAAAAGCTACTGTGCACAAGTCTCCCATGGCCTAGGTAATTAAAAAACCTAAGCTCTACATAAGAAGTTATAGCTTTAGAACCGGAAGGTACCGTTGGAATTATATATACCATTTTCAAGTACTATAAACGTTCATTCAAAGCTGTACCAATAAAAGTACAAAAATTTTTAATATGGTTTATACAGGAAGAAGGATAAGTATTCACTTCTCTAATATTGTTTATAAAGAATTATCTAAACACTTGATGAAGAGGGGATGTGTTTTTTTACATGTATCAAATTGCATTTTTGTGTCTCGTTGGTGAATAAAGCGGTAACAGCTGTGCAGGCTGGATGTTAGCTATTCTTCAGTGGAGATTTTTTGTACATAAACAAATGGAAAAGTTGTACAAATATTCTCTGCAGCCAGCAATATCCTGGTCTGCTTTAATAGCACATCCATCCCTGCTCTTTCCTGATTGTTGTGCAAAAGTTGTGTAGAAGGCTTATGCAGATATGCTTCTCTCTGTTCTGCTGGTTTCCAGCAGCTTAAAGCCCCAATTAACAAAGAATTCTTGGTGCTCTTGAAATGCTTGCACTTAAAACTTTACATTTTAATGAATATACTTACTATATTCTTTTTTTTATTATTATTATACTTTAAGTTCTAGGGTACATGTGCATAATGTGCAGGTTTGTTACATATGTATACTTGTGCCATGTTGCTGTGCTGCACCCATCAACTCGTCAGCACCCATCAACTCGTCATTTACATCAGTGAGTTACTTACTATATTCTTAATAATTTTTTCACAGAATGCACACAAATGATATAGATTCCCCATAGCTGCCAAAATGGAAACAGAGAGGCTCTGTGCCCATCTGAAAGCTTTCTCATATTGCTACTAAAAGGGCAGAAAAATAAGAAAATCTTCAACTTAGATATAAAACTGTAAGACCAGAGCAGCACTGATTTTTTTTTTTTTTTTTTTAGAATATCGTTTAACTAGAAAAAAAAAAAAAGTATGTCCACGAGGAACATTTTGGTTTGAAAGGTATTTAAATTCAAAAGAATAGCATCCCTATGAGTAACTCTGAAGCTCTAAAAATGAAAACCACACTTAATTGTAGTGACATTTAGTATCCATTTTGAAATTAGAAAATCAAAAGAAAAAAAAGAAAAACATATTTTAACATTTCACCACTATTTGATCTTATGTATGTTTTAAATTTTTCTTAGAGGTCACTGCCTCAAAATGCCTCAGAATCAAGTTAAACTATTTATACAGTGACAAAACACGTGTATCTGTGCATGTCCAGATCACTGATATTTACTCAGGTTAAATATTTATTACTTTTGAACAAAACATTTAAAAAATTAAAACCACAGTTTAAGTCTCTAATGTTTTTCAGCTTCTTAAACGGCTTCCTTTGAGATTTTGTCACATCGTGACAGCTTAAGTAGAACAGTGCCTTCTGTGTTTTTCCTTTTTAAAGAGGAAACATGTTGACTGTAATGCTGCATGTTGAATAAAATATGTTTAACATGTTGAGCACAGTAATTCCAAACTGTACAATCCGCACTAGGCAAGCTCTACACTAATAGAACAAGGCTTGAGTTTAATCCTGAGAAATAGAGAATCACTCTGGCAATTTACCACAAACTGGGCCTCTGCCCTGTGGTTCACGTGTTCAGCTCACTGCTATGAAATTTGAACTAGTCTGTCCTGTTAAAATAATTGTAGATTTATTTTACAAGTTTTAAAGTGATCATCAGAGGCACGGTTCTGCACTCCATGAATTTCACACTATTTTGTGTTTCTATTCCTTGACGAATTCTTTCAGTGGGACATGTAAACCCAAGACGCTAAAGCAGAACACTGTAGGGTCTATGAGTGCTTCATAGCAACGCATGAATGTAAGAGAACTGCACAGTAAAAAGAGATAAAGCTTGTCTCCATGATTCTTGTTTAGCAGTGACCTCTCAAGAGTTGCTAAGTTCACAATATTAACACATACTATAAATAGTTTTGTCTTAAAAATAAGTGTTTAGCTAGTCCTGCCCTGGCACCTGGTGGATATAATAACTCCCAAACCTAAATGCCATGTTATGGGGTGGGGGAGGCAGATGTGATGACGAAGGCTCCTGCGGCAGCTGTCTGACCTTCGTCTAACTTGTGCCCACCACAATCTCCCTTAGGATCCTAGTTATGCCCCTGCTTCCCACCCTGGTGGCACTCATGGGACTCGCGGGGGGAGAAGATCAACTTTAGCTGCGCTGCTGCACTTACCTAAGATTTTGCTAATGTTGGAGTTATGCATGTCGGGGAAGGCCTGAAGGATTTTCCTCCTCTCATCCTTTGCCCAAACCATGAATGCATTCATTGGTCGCTTGATGTGTGGCTCGCTGCTGGCACGGCCGCGGGCGTCCCTGTAGACTCGTGCTTCAGCCACAGTGGCACCTCCTGTTGGCCAACAATAATACTGCTGTAGTTTAGCTGCAGAGCCATTCATTGCTTTACTTCCTGTAATGTCAGGGCAGGAAGAAGAAGATTAATGGAAAGTGTTATTTTGTGGATAATGTCACATAGCTTGCCACCTGGGTCAGCTGTTTTCCCCAGGTCCTCCTCTTCTTTTCTAAGTGACTTCTTGGAAGTAGAAGGCAGGTTCAAAGGACAGTTCTACAGGCTCTTCTGATGTAGCCCTCAAAGGCACACTAAGAATTAATTTTGTGTGTGTTTTATACACCCTACCACATTTACTACAATAAATGGAAGGTGATTATAGAGCAATGAATGACATTACCTTATGGCAAACTTTCCTGCTGTAATTCCTTTCTTCAAAAGCATGCTCTTACCAGTCATTTTAGACTCATTTGCCCCAGATCACAACCACTCTATATGTTTCCCCCAAATAGAATTGTTTTTCACAATATTGTGTTCACCTGTGCTCTTCTCACTGCCTAGAAGACCCTTCTCCTACTCCTTCATGCTAAATCCCATTCATCCTTCAATGCTGACATGTTTCATGATTGAATGAATTAATTCTATGAAAAACATTAATTGAGCAATTACTATAACCTAGGTTTTATGCCAGGTGCTAAGGAGACCATGGTAAATAAAAACAGCCCCTGCTTCTAAGGAGCTCACAGTTCAGAGTAAGGATAGACAATGATAACAAAGAGGGTAAGAGGTGCTACTATACTGACGTTAACAGGGCACCGAAAGAGCACCAGACAGAATGGTCAGCTAGCACCTCCTAGGAGATGAGATGTCTAAACTGAGTCTTCAAGGATGAATAGGAATCAGCAAGTGAGTGGGAGAGGAAGTAAAGTCCGATGGGAAGGGTAATTCAGGCTAAAGGAACAGAATTTGCAATGATGCTCCCCAGGCTGCACTCAGTCCTCCTGCTTTCAGGAGACATGCCCCATAGTAATTATTGTTTATGTGACTATCTCCCTCCTTTCCACTCCTCTCAGGAATATGAGATACCTAAAGTTAGTGATTATGCTGTACTCATTCTTGTATCCTCAGGATTTTTCACATAACAGATAATAAAATATTCATTAAGCAAAGATTATTTGGTTTTCAACTCATATGCAAAAGTCATAGACTGAGGCATTTATTTCAAGCGTCCTGTTCTATTTTTCTGTTTAAGTGTAGTTCTTTAACATCTATGAAACTATGCCTAAATTCCTGATGTTTTATAATTTCCAAAGAGCTGACTCTAGTAACATACGAGATTGAAAGCTCCTTGAAGATAGGACAAGGGCTGGGTCTTATTCACTGCTCCATTCCTAGGATTCATTAAAGTACTTGGCACATAGGATTTCAGTTAGCAAATTATGTTATATTAATGAATGATTGAATAAATAAATGAATGAATGAACATGGCTCTTACTTGTCTTCATGCACCCTATGCCAGGGTGATATACTGATGTATACTTTGTGATGTGGCAACTCCTGACTATCTCCCACAGATTGAGAACTTTTATAGTTAAACGTAAAGTGGTCGGACTGATAGCCTCAGACAAGGCTTCTACCGCATAACAGGAAAGCCTACGCCCAGAAGTTTAGAAGCAAAATGTACATTAAAATCAACATTTCTATTTTCTGGAAAAAGTAAATCCTTTCCGCTCAGTGAAGTTATTATACAGGACCAACATGATTCAATCAATTTCTGGCCCTTCCTCTCTATTTTTAGATACCTTGGTTAAGTAGAAATTTGTTTGTGTCAAAGCCGGTAATAAATTACAACATTATAGTGCACTATTATTTAGCAAATATGGTCATCATTTACTGCAAACAAAAGACAGTATAAAAGGGTGGGATTGGCTAACATGAATTTTTTTCTAAACAGGAAGGAGAGCAGAAAGGCTACTTTCTGAAGACTGTACAAAAATAACATATTTTATAAACAGCCCTTCTTTTCGGCCTACTAGATAGAATGATCCTTTACATGAAAAGTCTTAGATCCCAAGATGCATAACTAATATGATACCTTTTTGCCACCATACCCACAGTACATTAATTTCATTTAAAATGCACTGACCATACAGGATAAATTGATTTCACTTTATATGGGTTTGACAGCCATGTTTATTGTGCAGTGAAATGTAGTGTAGCTTCCAGCCGACAATATCCATCAACACAGGGCAATATGCTGACTGCTGGGCCAGATGAAGGCATACATTACTCTGGAAGTGAAACACTCATTCAGACACGACAGTGTCTTCTCCTGAGGATCACCATGGTAATTTATGATGCCCTCAGTGCCATTACTTTACAACTGACATGGATTCAGCAATTTATATACTGACATGCATTCACATAAAAGGAGACAGGTTTGTGGAGAATGTCAGATGCAAAAACATTTCAATATTATTCTAAGTTAACTGCTATGCCACAGGTGATTAACATTTGAGACCTGCTTCTTCTGTTGTAGCTTTCTCTTCACCTCTAGCAAAACCAAATAGTCAGCTTCCATTTATTTCTTCATTTAAAATATGTATTTCATTGTAAATGGGAAGTTTTACTGTCCCAAAGACTGACAGAGATCATAGTGGATTTTTAGATGCTGGCTTTAGTATAAACATTCTAGATTCTCTACTTGGTACCAACTGAGTCTCCCAGATATGTCATACATATGCCCAATCTCTCTCCCACTCATGCTATACCACAGTCTTCACATATCCTTCCTACTCTCTTCTACTTTACCGATTTCTACCTTTTTCCGAGGAACAGAGTTCAAGTCTGACCTCTACCCTGCACTGACCTTTACTTTTCCTCCTACATCACATATTATCTTCAGGAGCTGAAGGATAAGGAAAAGATTACACAACAGTTTTCTGGGACTCACATGAAATGCTTCCAGAAGTTGAAAAATTCAAGCACGGTGCACAGAACAAAAACATGAATTAAGAAGGCAAAGAATAGAAAATGCTTTAGATCACGTGCACATCTCTTTTTTCTGGTCACCTCTTCTCTCTTCCAGAAGGAGTGAACCATAAATGAATGGGGACATCCTAAGCTAAACCAGAAATGTTGTATCAGATGAACCAAGATTTGGGAAGAAGAGATTTACCCAGGGAGGCCAACATTTGAAACTACTTTTAAAGCGAATCTGATACCTGATCAACTACAGCAGCGACTTTTAACACCACACAGATTGCAGTGCGCAGATCCCTTTGCAAAATCATAACTTGGAAAATGTTTTCCTGTTTTTCCTTCTCCCACTCTTCCTATTTTTGCCCCCTTCCTGTTCTATCTCCCAAATACGTAGTACTCTAAAGCTATTTTACGACTATGCAAATTATGCCCAGGAGGTCACTCTCCTTAATTAGAAAGTCAATGAAAACAACAATAACAAATCAAATTTGCATATAAAAGTGGTCTCACCTTTGCTTTCACCGCCACCACTAACATCCTAGAAAGGGAGTCTATCCTTCCCTAGATTTATAATATCTGAGTTAACACCTGGGTAATGTACAGAAAATACAGTAATAGAAACCACAAATGCCCCACAAATACATATTGAGGGTTTCTTCTATTCTGTCTTTTTGAAGTGACTATGCCATTTAAGACTTACATGGAATTCATTGAAGCATCCATATGAGTACTATGCAGAAAGATGTTTTCAATGAATATTTCTTAAATATTTTGATAGAAAACATTTCTCAATATTACTTTTTTTCATTTAAAGCTGACAACTTATCTATTACTTGAATTTACAATCTAAGTTCGAGTTAAGCTTAGATTCAGAATTTTAAGAAAGTATTAGAGCCTACAAAGTCAAAAGAACATTTATTAAGTGTCCCTAAACTTTGCTTCTGATACAAAATGGTAAAGGAATTGTTGCCACAGTAGAAATACTTACGATTGTATGTGTGTGTACAAATTCAGAAATTTAAAAATGGAAATTACATGCCTGGAAAACCCTTATAAACACATAAGAAAAATTTTATAGCATATTATAAATTGTTTTCAAAAGGTATACTATTAATCTGTGTATCTGAAGTCTAAAATTCACTTTGTTATAATTAATTTTAAAAATATGCATATTGTATAATTTCATACTGCTCCATTCATCATTAAGTGCAAAACACCAAACATTTCATTCTTAAATAGCCAATAGTCTGCATCAGAATCCAGAACTTGGAATGGCTCATAATTCTATGAGGCAGCTTCTTCTCCTTTTAATAGCAGAGGAATCATTTGTGAGTTCAGCGTATGCTTTTTCATGGAAAGCAGTTAGAAGAAGCCTAGACCCACAGCTATGTACCTGGAGACGGCTTTCCAGCTGACCTAAGAGTCTTTAATTGCCAGCAACAGCAGTCCCAAATGACAGTTACTGAAAGGCCAAGAGATCAACAGCACCACAGTAGGCTTCAAGGGAAAGCAAGGTCTCTGTACGTCAGGAGAGGCTGCTCTGTACAACTTCCCCTAGAAGGCTCAAATTGGTTAATTCATCCTTCATCTCAGTTTGTGTAAAGACAAACTTTCAGTTAAAGAGAGTTAATCTGCAGGGAGAAAATAGAAATTGCCAAGGCAAAAATCTCCTCAGAAAGCTGTCATTTGAATGATTTAAAGACAAGACAAAATTGAGTTTTTCCAGGTGGGTTGGAAAGAAGGCCAGTTTCACCATCACAGCCTCTGGAAATGGTCCTGAACTAATCCTGGAGAGGCCCCTTCCTGGTTAAATTCCAAGGGATATCCGAGTGAATGAGTGAGTGCTTGTGCATATATAAAATTATCCCTAAGGGGAACTCTGGTTAATTCTATAATGTGCCTAGTAATCATTTATTTATCTATTAATTCCATAAACACTTCTGACACAATTCATATGTACCCAGCATTGTGATGGGGTATACAAAGATAGATAATACATGTACTTTGTTTTTAAGGAATTTGGTCCCCAATGTGAGAAGACACATTAATTAAAAATTATAAACGATGCTAACAGAGGTAATTTAAAAATACTATTAGAGCAGGGAAAATAAGCTACTAACACAATTGGAGTGGACAGA